CCCTCGTGTGTTTGCATCGGAGCTGGCTCTTTGTGGTCTCTATATCTCTCATTAGAGCCCGGGTTCAACAAGATCTGTCAGGACTGTGTTCTCCATGGTTCAGGAAGTTCCTCAGCCTTCCAAAGGCGCAGGATTACAGGCTGAGCCACCAAGCCCGGCTACTGGTAGCATTTCACATACACAGCAGGCAACTTTCGCACATCCTTGACAACAAAAGACAGGAATTTTATCACGGGTTGGGAGAAACACTTATCTTCTATCTCCTGCAGATCCTGCCCTCAGACCCAGTGAAGGTTTTTTGATAGGGGAGAGTCTCAGTGCGTTTGCCCATTTCATGATGGGTGATTGACAAGTGCACCTGCCCACACCATGCTGAGCGTTCAGCAGTTTTTGACTAAAAACAGCATGATCCCTGTGCCATACCCTCCCTATTCACCTGATCTCGACCCGAGTGACTTTTGTTTGTTTCCCTGGATGAAAAAAGTCCTCCAGGAGAACCGTTTGCCAATGGGGAACAGGTGAAACCAAAAAACGGCAGAAGCACTGAAAGGCATCAAAACTGATGTGTTCAAAAACTGCTCTGAGCGGTGGGAAAAGGTGTATTACATCAAACGAAGAGTGCTCTGAAAGTGACTGAAGTTTAAATATGTAAGAATAAATACACAATTTTGAGTAAACAGATTCTGGGTTTTGGGGGCCCCCCTCCATATCTTCTACTAACTTTTAACTTGTCTTCTCACTTTCTAGATGATCTTTTAATGAACAAAAGTCTTCCATTTTATTAGGGTCACAGGTGCCAGTGTTTTCCCTTTTATGGATTTTTATGTCTTGTTTGGAAATCTTTCCCTTAAGGAATCTGAAGGACAGTCCCAGTCTGGGGGGCGGTCACAGATGGAGCCGGGTTACAGGCGAGGGGCAGAGGCAAGCGTGGCTGCACCCCCTAGGACCCTGTCCTGCGTGCAGCAGCCCCGACCAGCCCGCACGAGTGGCCAGCTGGCTGGCTGGCAGGTGTGTTCTGGTTACAGAACCGGATATCTCACGCAATTAGGGCTGGGTGCTGTTCACAATTCTAATCATAGACTTTAATTAACTTTCCTTGCTCTGACGCCTGCTCGCTAAGCAACCTTCTGATTATAATTTGGCTTCCCACGTCTCTTGCCTTCAGGGAAAGAATGTACGGTTCAGGCTGACGTGAGGATCCAATCCACTCAGCAGTTACAGGCCATGATGTAAATGAATAAATCCGCATTCGGATGTTATCAACGGCCGCTTCCAGCCCCAGGCGTGAGTCAGCATCGCCAAGTCTCATCAACACCAACACGGTGGATATCGAGCCTCTGAGCTGCAAATCTAAGAACGAGATTCAGGGCCAGAGTGAAATCACCAAGGCAACACTACCCTGGAGGAGGCCTGGAGGCCTGATGCAGGGGGCTTCCTGCATGTCACACGACACAGACAGGGATTCAAACCAACTGTGACATGACAGAGAGGTGATATGCCAAGCCCTGGCTTGGCCCCATTCAGGCAAAGGCAAAGAAGCAGATTTGATCTTGAGACTCGTATTGAACATTTATTGGTTTGCAAGCACACACCAGATGCTGCAGGGTCCCAGGCAGAAGGTTAAGATTTACAGACATGCTTGAAAAAAGCGAAACAACAACAGCAACAAAAGGACAGATGGTCTGAGCGGAGGAGCACGAGCGTCTGAGGGATGAATTCCTGCCCCACGTAGGTTCTGGTGCTCCAGGATACAGAACAGAAGAGATGGTATCTCTCTCTCTCTCTCTCTCTCTCTCTCTCTCTCTCTCTCACACACACACACACACACACACACACACACACACACCCCCAGAACACAAGCAGGAATGTGCCCAGGTGGTGAGATTATCCAGGCCCAAGATAGCATTTAGGACCTGGAAGGGGAGGGCAAGGTCTTCGCAGAGACTTCAAAAGGCGAGGTGGAGATGCCACCCCCCCAGACAGGTAGGACAGTTGAGCATCCTGAGACTCAGGCCAGCACCCAGCAGGCTTCCTATGAGCAGCGCCACGGTGGCATAGAGCCCCTCCTGCTACCCGGTGACCCTGGGCATCCATGGGAGAAGGGAATCAAGACATCAAGACTGCAGAGCTAGAAAGTCTTGGCCCAGGGATGGGAAAGGACCCTCTGCTTTGTATTCAGACCCCTCAAAAGGGGACAGGGGAGTGAGAGACTGAGGCTGATGGCCCCACAAGATTGGTTGCTCAAAGAAAATACATCCCAGAAGGAGCGAGAGAAATCGAAGGCTGTCCTGAGCCATCTTTGAGGCCAAGTGCTGTCTGCCACGGTGCCCCCGTCAGAGGCTTGCTTGGCCAGAGGCGGAGGAGGCTAGAAAACAATCTCAAGTGTTCTTTGGTTCTAAAGATGAGCTAGAGACATGCCGTCCATGAAGGGATGATCCCGAGTGTAGCTGCCCAGCAGCCATGTGGAAGGAGAGGCCATGCTATGTAGCTCAGGCTGGTCTCCAACTCCTGGGCTCAAGCAATCCTCCCACCTCGGCCTCCCAAAGTGCTGGGCTGACAGGCATGAGCCAGCGAGCCCAGCCTAGGAGAGGTATACAAAAGGCTCCGCAAAACAGTAGCACCCAGACGGAGCGGGCTGGCAGAGGCTCCTCACAGGGACACAGTCAGGACACCAGACTCCAGGGAACCAGCTGGAGAAGGGCAGGCCTGTGTTCTCTACAGACTCAGAGGGCTTCACAGGAAGGAACAAGCCCCTGTAATTGTGGTCTCAAGCCAGGCACAGTGGCTCGCTTCTGCAATCCCAGCACTTTGAGAGGCTACGGCAAGAGGATTGCCTGAGCCCAGGAGTTCAAGACCAGCCTGGACAACTTTGCAGAACCCTTTCTCTACAATAAATTAAAAAAAAAATACCCGGGCATGGTGGTGTGCACCTGTAATCCCAGCACTTTGGGAAGCAGAGGAGAACGGATTGCCTGAGCCCAGGAGGTCAAGATCAGTCAGGGCAACTTAGCGAGATCTCGTCTCTATTGTAGTAGCGCATAGTGGCCTCAGTGTGTGTGCCTATGGGTATAGACACGTCGACAAAACAGGGTCCCTGCCTAGTAGAGGTTGTCCCGCACGTGCTCCAGAATGGCCTTCAGCCCCAGCCAGGTCTCCTCTGCGGTGGGGATAATCTGACTGGCCGGCAGGAGGAAGCCGTAGTGCCCTGTGTCTCTCAGCTCGAACGTGAACGCATACTTGATGCCGTGATCATACGCCCAGTCAACGCTGCTCCCGCTGGCTGGATCTGTAAGTCAGAAGAGAAGACACTCTAGCCGGGTGCGGTGGTTCATGCCTGTTAACCCAACACTTTGGGAGGCGGAGGCGAGAGGATTGCCTGAGCCCAGGGGTTTGAGACCAGCCTGGGCAATGTGGCAAGACCTCATCTCTACAATAAATCAAAAAGTTAGCCAGGCGTGGTGACACGCGCCTGTAGTTCCAGCTACTTGGAAGGCTGAGGCGGGAGGACCACCTGAGCCCAGCACGTCAAGGCTGCAGTGGCTGGGATCATGCCACTGCACTCCAGCCTGGGTGACAGAGTGAGACCCTGACTCAAAAAAAAAAAGAGAAAACACTCTTGAAACCAGTTCCCTTCAGGGCTAGATGGGCCAGGGCAGGAGCTTGGCCTGCCTGGGCTTCCTTAGCGATCCAGAGTTCTTTCTGTGTGTCATGAGGCTTATGGCACAAAAACATCAGCCTGATCCCGTGTCTCAGGCTGTCCTGCACCGTGAGGGTCCGTCTGGCCTCAGACCAAGAGGTCTGAAATCTTCACTCCCACCTCGTGGCTCACTCACTGCGTCCTGCCCCAGGAGTCACTCAGAACCAATCTGTGTAGAGCCAGGCAATCACCTCTAGGCAGCCCCGGTGATCCTGATCTCCTAGAGGCCACATGCCTGCATCCTCCTCTCCCGCACGAAGCGGGACTGATGTCACCTAGGTAACCAACAGGATGTGGCTGAAATAAAGCTGCCACATCCAGTTAGGCTGGGTCATCAAAGACACCGTGGCTTCCGCCTCACTCGCTCTTGGGTCACACACTTCGGGAAAGCCAGCTGTCATGTTGTCAGGACACTCACATGGCCCCACATGGGGGTCCATGTAGGGAGGAGCCGAGACTTCCTGGCAGTTGTCGGCACCAACTCGCCAGGCACCTGAGCGAGAGCCACCCCAGACACAAACCCTCCAGACCCAGCAAGCCTTGAGCTGACAGCCTTGGAAGACATCTTGGCCACAACCGCAGCCTCTTGTGAGATGCTAAGCCAGAGCCACCCAGCTGAGCTACTTTGAATTCCTGCCCCCACGGAAACAGTGTAAGAAAAATAAACACTTAAGGCTGGGCACAGCGGCTCATGCCTGTCATCCCAGCACTTTGGGAGGCCAAGGCAGAAGGATCACTTTAGTCCAGGAGTTTGAGACCAGCCTGGGCAACATAGTGAGATCGCGTCTCTTCAAAAAATTTAAAAAGTGAGCTGGGAGTGGTGGCACGCACCTGTAGCCCCAGCTACTCGGGAGGCTGAGGTGAAAGGATCGCCTGAACCCAGGAGGTCAAGACTGCGGTGAGCTGGGATCGCACCGCTGAACTCTAGCCTGGGCAACAGGGTGAGATCCAGACTCAAAAAAAAGAGAGAAAGAAATATAAGCAAGCTTGCAGGGAGTCCGAGGGTGGATCAACCATTGGAATGTTATTTCTAGAAGAGTCACTAGAAGGGAAAAGAAGGGCACAACCCTAAAAGGGGACAGAGTAGCATTTCCTGGGTGGATACGTATCATGTGTCGTTTAAGGAGGGGGAGACTTTCCGAGAAACCTCCTCAGGCGATCTCGTCGTGCAAACATCCTAGCATGTATTTGCACAAACCTAGATGCATGGTGAGCCTACCACACACCTAGGCTGTGTGGTAGAGCCTGGGGTCCCCAACCCCCAGGCCACGGACTGGGACCGTCTGTGGCCTGTTAGGAACTGGGCAGCACAGCAGGAGGGGAGCGCAGCGAGCAGAGCTCCGCCTGCTGTCAGATCAGCAGCGGCATTAGAGTCTCAGAGGAGCAAGAACCCCACTGTGAACCATGCACGCGAGGGATCTAGGTTGCGGCTCCTTATGGGAATCTCATATCTGAGGATCCCCCAGCCCCCCACCCTATCCCCATCCTTGGAAAAACTGTCTTCCATGAAACCAGTCCCTGATGCCAAAAAGGTTGGGGACCACTGGGCTAGCCTATTGCTCCTAGGCCACACACCTGCTCAGCATGTGACTGAGCTGAATCCTGCAGGCCACTGTAACACAATGATGGGTATTTGTGCATCAAAACATAGAAAAGCTACTATTAAAAATAGGGTGTTGGCTGGGCGCAGTGGCTCAAGCCTGTCATCCCAGCACTGTGGGAGGCCGAGACGAGAGGATTGCCTGAGCTCGTGGGTTCGAGACCAGCTGGGCAACTTGGTGAGGCTTCATCTCTACAATAAATCAAAAAATTAACCAGGCGTGGTAGCACATGCCTGCAGTTCCACCTACTTGGAAGGCTGAAGTGGAAGGATCGCTTGAGCCCAGCAGGTCGAGGCCACGGTGGCCATGAGCATGCCACTGCCCTCCAGCCTGGGCGACAGAGTGAGACTCCAACGCAAAAAAAAAAACCAAAAGACGGTATTACAGTCTCACGGGACTACCATCCTACATGTGGCCTGTCATTGACCGCAGCGCCATTAGGTGGCACGTGGCTATATTTCCATTTCCCATGTGCAACTGGGTCCCTGGCGTATATTTCTTATACTCCAAGGAACATTTAAAGGCAGCCTCACAGAATAAGGGGGCTGGAAGTTTCTCAGCAGGAATCGAATTGCTCAGATAAGGCCTCTCAGTGAGAAAACAAAACAGAGGTCTTGCCTCCAAACAAGGGTGTGGGCAGTGAGCCTCAAGCCCAGGTGCAGGCCCGGGGCTGGTAGATTTGGGGGGCAATATGCCAGCCCCCGCCAGGGAGATCCCTAACGCAGCGCCCTGTCGTCATGATCCAACACTTTTTCATGTCTCGCCCACCCACTCTCAAGTCAGCCTGCCAATGCAAAGGCAAGTCTCCTTTGAAAAGGGAGGGGTAGCCTTGAGGGCTTTTGACATGATGTTGAGGAAGAGGACTGCTGGCAGCAGCCATCCACACAGGCCTGAGGGAAGTCCAGTCTATTACAACAAAAACAACCAGACAGACGACAAGTAGCAAGTCTAACTCGCAGCTCTCCTCCCATTCCACTCCAAGTTTCCTCCCAATGCGCTTTCAGGCGCAATGGCTCCCACCCGTCACGCCAGCACTTTGAGAGGCCGAGGCAGGAGGCTTGCCTGAGCCCAGGAGTTCAAGACCAGCCCAGGCAACATCGTGAGACCTCGACTCTACAAAAAATTTTAAAATGAGCTGGGTGTGGTGGTGTGCACCTGTAGTCCCAAAGACTAGGGAGGCCGAGGTGGAAGAATTGCCTGAGCCCAGGAGAGACTGAGGCTGCAGTGAGCTGTGATGGTGCCACTGCATGCCAACCTGGGCGACAGGGCAAGACCCTTTCTCAAAAAGTTAAAAAGTGAAGATAAATAAGTAAGCACAGCGCATACTTACAGACAGTGGTGCTGGTGGGCCCCACTTGGTACTCAGTGCCCGACAGGGAAGCCAGAGTCTTGGCCGCTTGCCTGGCAACCTTGTCCTGGAAAGGAGGCACCGACGGAGTGAGAAGGGTGAACCCGCAGCCTGATGTCCCTCAGCTGTCCTGCACTGGCCTGCAAGAGTCTCAGCCTCTCCCCCAGTTTCCCTTCTGGTCTCTCCTTTCCCATCTGCCCAGAGCCAAGGCCCTGCCATAAGCGGGGGGGGGGGGGGGGGGAAATGTGAGGCAATACCAAATGGTCTAACATATCCGTAATTGGAGTCCCTAAGAAGAGACAGAAACAGTCAAAATAAATATTTGGAGAGATATTAGCTTAAAATTTCTTCCCCAACTGATGTATGGCATTGATACATGATTCAAGAGTAGACCATTGTCTCTGTCCCCCTAATTTACCCTCATGCCTGGTAGA